GCTATTACCTACATTTTAGTAATAACACTTAAATAAAATGTACACTTCTATATACAAGAAAAAAATGATAAAACATAGAAAAATCAATCATAAGCAAAAACATAAATTACAAAAATATTTAGGTCCCTAAATTAATTTACAAAATAATAAAAACTCTCAAACTACAGTAAAAAATAAGAACTCTTTTATTTTCTGTTTTAGAAAAAAAAAATAATTTGTATAATTTTTAGGGAAGTCAGCATAGTTTTAGTTTAATTTACATTTGCTTGATGTAGTAAATATTTTTACAAGTTTGATAGTGAATTATCAGTGAAATGCATTCTTAACTGCAGAATAAAGTATTTAAAAGCATGCTGGAAATAATAGTTAAAAATAGGTTGTTCAAAAAGTTTATTCAGTCTCAGAATTACCGGTTAAATGTTGAACCAAATATTTAGTACATCGTAATACTATGTGATTTTTTTTAACCTTATTACGGTGCTAAATTGAGTCATTACTTTATTCATTGTCAAGAAAGTAATAGTGTAATCAAGTTTAAGAAGTTGCATAACATGGTTTAAAATGGCACCATATTTGAATTATTATAAATTTGAAAAATATTATGGATCAATACGCTGAAAATTTTTTTATGAAACTTTAATATAATATATGCTTTATAAATCAAAAATGTATTAATTAGATAATTTATATTAAGAATTAAGTAAATATAAATAAAAATGCTTACAAGTGGCACCTTTTTGTGCTCTGAGCTCAATATTAATGATAAGCTGTATACGCATTGTGTATCGAAATTTTAGGAACTCTGTATATACCAAATAAATAACGCTTACTGCTAATTTATTCAAAATATGATTTTTATTTTCATAAAATATAGAAAAGTTAGAACAAGTATTAAATTTCCTTTTGGTTTTAGTTGAATAAATGCTAACAAATCTTATGTGCACTGCTTAAAAGTCAAAGAATATACTCAAGTTTCTAAATTTGTTGTATGCTATATATTTATTGTATAAACTATTTATAGGAAGATTTTTTTACAAATAACTATTTTAAATTTTATATATTAGTTTATTTATTACCTATTTAAGAGCAGAAAGTTTCGAATATGAAACTGCGTTTAAGAAAAGGGTAATAATAAATATTTTGAAATTGGTCAATAATTATAATGCGCTGTATCAACATTCTTGTGTGTTTTCTATGCAATAGAACAAAGGGGTCTAATTAGCTATTTAAACGTCGTTATACAAAACATCAAAAAGACCAAAAGTTTTAATCAAAATTTTTTCTCAACTTTGTTTTTTCTTTGAAGTTAATAAACTGAAAAATATTTTTTCAGCTTAAATTTTATAAGAAAATTATATTTGTTTTAACGGAATGAATTGAAATGATGGACAGTATTCTGGCTAAACTATCAATGACAACGATTTATGAAAAGGATTTAAATCAATTTTAGAAAGTGCATAACGAGGAGATAATATTTAGTTATGATATTGTGATATTTAGTTATTCATTTATAAAAACAGTAATATGTTAAGCAAATAACTTAAATTTTCTTAGAATTTTATTTAAAATAAAAGTCAACATGAATAGAATTGCTCGTCAAAGAGAATATAATTCCTTACTTTAAACCACGAAATGTTTTAAATGGGAACTTTTTATGTTAGAATTACAAATTACTTTATAGCAGCAATCATACAGCTTCACAAAATTATCGTTTGTTCAACAATTTATAGAAACAAACGAAGACCATGTTCTGAGAAAAAATAGCATGGTCAAAAATAATAGAATATGGTAAAATTTACCGTGTTTCTGGATCTAGAAACACCAAAAATACGGTAATTTTTTTGATTCACTCCGGAAATGACTTTCGCTAAAATTAAGATTATTATATGGTTTTAACCATGCTTTTAGGTCGTAAAAGTGGTAAAATGGGGTAATTTTATCATGATACCTTAGAGCATGACTTAAAAACAATTTTTTTTGGTTAAATTTGTTCTACAGCTTAGTATTCATACTAAATGCATGGTAATAAGAACTATAATTTTGAAAACCAGAATACCCAGTAAGGCATTATCATATGAGGGCAAAAATTGCGAAGTAATAGGTTAAATTACCCTATATTTTTGGTCTTTTTAACCAGAATTATAGTTTATTATTGACCTTATATGTAATTACCTGTAAAGATAGCCAAGCGAATGGAAAAATTACCAAATAAGTGGATTAAAAACCGTATATTTTGTTTTTATTACCTGAATTATGTTTTTAACTAGAAATATACAAGAATGGAAACATAAGACACATACAAGAATGAAAATTTTACCAGAATATTTTTCCTTGCTCTTGCATTTGAGACTGATTCTTTTCTATGCTTTTCAGCATATCTTATGTAAATAAATCGTAGTAAAGTAAATAAATTTGGCATATCTAAGGTAAATAAATTGCAATTTTAAATGCTGAAATACTAATAACTGAATCGTAAGAGACACAGATTCATGAAAATATCGTTATTTTATAAATATGTTGCTGTTAAAGTGCGCTTCTTTAATCGTTAAAGTGTTTCTAGCTGCTTTTAGTCAGTTTTGAACTGTTTTTAGCTGTTTTGCAATGAAGTGTGTGAGTGTTTAGGCCTCATTTTGTCGCGTTTAGACGTATAATTCAGATGGAATTCAGAAGGTTAGCTTTTATATTCAATTAATCATCAATTGATTAATTACCAATTAATCATCCGCAATAGGGATAAAATGCATTTTTGAGAGAGTTTAGTTACTTAAGATCAATTAATTTATAAAATAACTTTGAAATTGTTTATTTTCACTTTAACAATTTATAATTAGTTATTTCATAGAATAACTAGGTAAAGTATGAAACTTTTCATCTATTATGTACTTTAACTGACATGTCTAATTATTTCATGAAATACCTAGTAGCTCTATGAAATAACTAAACTGTACACTTTAACGGTATCATATATATATAT